ATGTGAACTGCTGTATGAAAAGTGAATTTACTCTGTAAATCTTCACCCAAATCCTAATAAAAAAAAAAAAGCAGACTGTCTCATTTTTCTCCCATGGAGTAGCTGGTAGGTTGGAACTGCTGGCCTTTTGGTTACAGGCAAATGATTTAACCACTATACCACTAGTGCTCCTTAGTAATGAAAATACAGGTGTCAAATTGGGAATTAAAATAGTCCCAGTGCAGTGCAATGATTTTCAGGACAACTTCAATTTGACAAATATATATCAAGTAACTTTGACATAATTCTGCGTGACATTAGACAAGTCACTTTCCATCTATGTCTCCAGTTCCTCATTTGTAAAATGAAATTGTCAAACCAGATTAATTTTAAGATGTTTCTGTTTCTAGCATTCTGTGGTTTTTGTGGATGTCTGCTGAGTTCACCTCTGCAATGGTCAGCATATAAGGGCCCATCTACCATCTAATAGGGAGTTACCAAACATCCTTCAGATACCTGGCCCTCCAGTGGCACCTGCCAGCTTCATCTCTTTGCCTTTCCTTAGTGAGCTTACTTTAATGGTGAAGTTCAGGCCAAGAGACAGGGGTAACTTATCTTAAACTGATGATTGATGGCTGGTTCCATCTCTCTCTCAAAGCCATTGGCTCAGTGTTCCTGCCTCCCTCCCTTGTCTTTGACTAAGCTTCCCCCAGGCGTCTTTCCTCTGAGGCATTATTGCATGTGGTTATATCCACTCTAGCAAAGCTGCCCATTATTTGGACTTTATAGCCTCTTTCTGGTAACTCATAACAGGAACTGCCTCAGCTATGGGCATGTACACCGGGGACTGACTCAGGAGCAGGGCTGTCACATGCTGGAACTTCTGCTTGGATTTGCAGATTCATTATCGGTGTCAGACAATCTACTGTGTGAATGATGATAAATGCACAATGTTCAGCTGAAGGAATCATGTACTCTAAGATTAACCTCATGCTGACAGCCTACTCATCCACTGCATGGAGTCCCACCACCCACCATCCTTTGTCAGTAGTCCAGAATAAACTTTCAAAATTTAAAGTATGTTTAGCAAAGAATGATAGGGGACCTCATATCCATGCAATTTTAAAACACAAATGATGGATATTTTTCTTTCCAGAGATAGAGGCAAGGACAACATGGGTAGCTGTGTGGAAGCAGGGAGGCTTTGGAGAGAAGACCTCCTTTGACAGACATGTAGGTACCCAAAAAGAATTTTCAAGTTAGGCTTTCAAGTGGGACTCAGTTGGGTCAAAGAAGAGAGACCCACTTCTGGACTTTCTGTGGCTATGTGAATATCATCATAGGTCTAGCTATTCACCATCTGCTTTGGGCAAGACTCTTCCCCTCTTTGGGCCTCAGTTTACCCCCACAAGTAAAATGTGCAAGTTGAACTAGGTGATGTCAGATGAACCTTGTAAGACTTTTTTCTCTGGTTCTTTGGAAAGGGAAGGCTTATTCTTATGGTCTATCATGCAATATCTAATGGCCCCAAGGCTTGTGTTATAGGTACCTAATGTTCCTTTTTGATGTCACCCTCAAAAGACCAGGTAGTTCCCAAATACATTGTTTCCTATCACTACCTCCCACACATGGCTGAGGCAGGGTTGAGGTAGGATAAGAATAAAATTATTTTATTAATTTCCCGTTATACTCATTCTCCTTCATTTGGAAGAGGGTAAGTTACCTCAGATACCAAACCAGAATTCCTGAGGAGCTGGAGATTCATTCTACACATGGTAGAAAAAGTAAGTAGTTGTAGCCAAGTGAGTGCTTCTGGGGAATTAAAAGCCATTAAACCTAAGGATTTAACATTAGCATAGTGGCTAAAGGCACTTGACTGCTAACCAGAAGGCTGGCGGTTCAAACCCACCAGCTACTCCTCGGAAGGAGGGTTGGGCAATCCTACTTCCATAGTGATACTGACTCGGAAACCCAAGGAGGGGTCGCTATGAGTTGGGGCCGACTCGACGGCAAATAACAACACAACAACATGGTAATGTTAATTCCATCCTCTATACCCCCATCTACTGGGGCAGATGATAATTTTAATAACAGGTACTATTTTTACTGCTTCTTATATTCCAGGCCCTATACTGAGGACTTTACACATATTAATTCATTTAATCCTTATAACATCTATTTGAAGTAGGTGTTATTTTCCGTCATTTTATGGATGAGGAAACTGAGACTCCAGGGTTTACTATCCTTCCCACGATCGTACAGGGAAGTGGCAGAGCTGATATTTGAATTAGTGTTTCTGATTCCAGAGTCCAAACATTAACTCAGAGATTGTACTGCCAGTGAAGAACATCTCAAGGGCACAATAATCACATGATTTATGGGCAGTCCAGAGATGTTTGCCCCATACCTGGAACTCGGTCCCATGGCCCTGAGAGTCACTCCATGTGTTTGCTGGGAAAGCAACTTTGGCGAATAGAGAAAGGATGGCAGTAACTGTAGGCCTTTGTTTTAGTGGTTTATGATACTCTGATGGGGTTCCTTCTGTGGACACAAGCCATCTTAATAGCACCATTTATCATTATGACAAAGGTTAGAGTGGGGGAAACTCCAGCTGGAATGAAAGAGTAGAATTCTGATTATTTTAACAGTTGAAAGTGACATCATCTTAGAGCCTCTATGGAATGGCAAATTGGAAACTGGACTGAAATTACTTTACAGTGTACCCAGAGATAGTTTTCAACAGCAGTGATAAAATCATTCGGTTGTGTTTGGAGATGCATTTCTATCTAAACTGCTCTCTGAGTCATCTGTGTGTCATCCATTCAGAAGGATGCCCATCAGAGCTTCCTTTGCCCTGATAAAGTCCAAGGCTCTGGGGTGCTCTTCTGTGGGTACCTGGTATATGCCACACCTGTACCATGTACTAAAGTTGATTAAGCTACACTCTGATTTCTTTTTAATGTGTTATGAATATCTTTGCATGACAATAAGTAATGTTTCACAATTTTAATTGCTATGTTGTTTTCCTTGGTCCATCTGGTAGATTGAACCTAGGGTTTTGGAACAAAATCTCTCCAACCCCATTAATGAGTTTGAACAAATGGGAGTGTTGGCTAAGAGCCCATAGGAGTCTGCTGCCTGTTTGACCAGCCGTTTTAGTTATTTATTTGGAATTCTGGGTGGTGCAAACAGCTAATATTTTTGTCTACTAAATGAAAGGTTGGTGGTTCCATTCTACTCAGAGGCACCTCTGAACAAAAGCCGGGAGACCTCCCATTGAAAACCCAATGGAGAACAGTTCTACTTTGACACACATGGAGTCACCATGAATCAGGGTTGGCTCAATGGTGACTGGTTCTTATATATTTATTTGGGCTTTTATCCTGGGAACCTGAAGGAAAGACCTATGGAGACTGGGGCTTCAACTAATTTATCCCGGTTTTTTTTCCTCCCCCTTAGGCAAAAGAAGGGGAATGTGGCTCACAAACACTGGGTAGGAACTTCGAATTTAGTCAAGTGCAAGCCCTGTCCCATGGCCCAGTCTACCATGGTCTGCGGCTCTGATGGCCACACCTATACATCCAAGGTCAGTTTACTTTGTTGTGATTTTTGCCATCAAAAATACTGTATCTGCTTGTTCTTAAAACTGGGTCTTAGGAAGTTTGTTGGGCTCTAGGCCCTGTCCTTGAGAAACTGCTACATGAGCATACTCAGAGATAACAGCTGACCAAAGAGACAAGCAAAATTCAAATGTTACATCCTATGCAACTGGATTGCTCAAAGGTTATGGAAAAGGATGATTCTGAAAGTGGTGAAGAACTTCTTGGAGAAAATGAGGTAACAGGCTGTTCAGAAAATGCAAATACAATTGATTGTTGTTATTTGTAGTAATTATATAAAGTCTCATGGACACTGAACTAGCAGCCTGGTTTGACTTCACCTGAGAACATGCATGCTAGTCTGGCATAAACATCACTACAAATGGCCACAAAAACACTATGAATATTGATGTGGGGATTGCAAATAAATTTTAGTGAGTAAGTGGGAATTCTTGAATAATGAAGAACAGCTCATGGGAAGCAAAGAAGGGAGTCCAGCCCAGGGTCCTGCTTAATGGACAGCACAGTGAAAGGGGTATTTTGTAAGCAGACATTTAGTCTGCATTTATTGTGTATATAGAATGTGTCCTGCACTGTGCCAGGCCCTAGAACTGCAGGGATGAAAGTACTATTTTTTCTCAGGGGATCTCAAACATGGTGACAGGTCATTTTAATTCAAACCAATGAAGGGAAGATGGTTCAATAGAAAAAGGAACTAAGCTAAAATGGGTATATTTATTGTAATTGGAGGAATGAGGACAGTCTTTACAGTTGTTGTTGTTATGTGCCATCCAGTTGTTTCCCATTCATAGTGACCTTTAAACCAAGAACGAAACAGTGCCCAGTCCTGTGCCAGCCTCACAGTCCCTCCTATACCTGCACCCATCACTGTAGCCACTGTGTCAATCCATCTTGTTGAGGGCCTTCCCCTCTTTTGTTGACCTTTCACTTTACCAAACATGACACCCTTCTCCAGAGAAAGGTCCCTTCTGACAACATGACCAAAGTAATTAAGACAAAGTCTGGCCATTCTTTCTTCCAAGGAACATTTTGTCTGCTCTTCTTCCAGGACAGATTTGTTAGTTCTTTTAGCAGTCCATGGTATGTACATTCAGCGTTCTTCGCCAACACCACAGCTCAAAAGCATCAAGTCTTCGGTCTTCCTTATTCATTGTCCAGATCTCACATGCATATGACTGGAAATGGAGGTGACTGGAAATATCATGGCTTGGGTTAAGTGCCTCTTAGTCTTTAAGGAGATATCCTTGCTCTTCAGCGCTTGAAAGAGGTCTTTTGCAGGCAGATTTGCCCAATGTAGTATGTCGTCTGATATCTTGACTGCTGCTTTAGTTGTTGTTGATTGTAGAACCAAGCAATACAAAATCTTTGACAACTTCGATCTTTTCTCCATTTGTCTTGATGCTGCTTATTGGTCCAGTTGTGAGGATTTTTGTTTTCTTTATATTGAAGTGTTATCCATACTGCAGACAGTAGTCTTTAATCTTCATCAGTAAGTGCTTCAAGTCATCCTTGCTTTCAGCAAGCAAAGTTGTGTCATCTGCATATCTCAGGTTGTTCATGAGCTTTCCTCTGATCCTGATGCCATGTTCTTCTTCATATAGTCCAGCTTCTTGAATTATTTGCTCAGCATGCAGATTGAATAGGTATGGTGAAAGGATACAACCCTGCCACACACTCTTCCTGATTTTAAACCATGCAGTATCCCCTTGTTCTGTTCTAATGATAGTCTACTGGTCTATGTATGTATGTTCCTTATGAGTATAATCAAGTGTTCTGGAATTCCCATTCTTCTCAATGTTATCCACAATTTGTTATGATACACACAATTGAATGCCTTTGCATAATCAATAAAACATAAGTAAACATCTTTCTGGTATTCTTTGTTTTGAGCCAAACTCCATCTGACATCAGCTATGGCATCCCTTGCTCCACATCCCTTTTGAATCCAGCTTGCATTTCTGGAAGTTCTCTGTCAGTATACTGCTGCAACTGTTTCTGAATTATCTTCAGTAAGATTTTACTTGCATATTTTATCAGTGATATTGTTCGATAATTTTCACATCCTGTGGGATCATTTTTCTTCCAAATGGGTACAAATATGGTTCTCTTCCAGTCAGTTGGCTAGGTAGCTGTCTTCCAAATTTCTTGGTATAGCCAAGTGAGTGCCTCCAGCATGGCATCCATTTGTTGAAACATCTCTATGGGTATTCTGTCAGCTCCTGGAGCCTTGTTCTTTGCCAATTCCTTCAGTGCAGCTTCAGCTTCTTCCTTCAATTCCATTGATTCTTGATCATATGCCACCTCCTGAAATGGATGATCACCTACCAATTCTTTTTGGGACAGTGACTCTGTGTAATCCATCTATCTTCTTTTGATCTTTCCTGCATCATTCAATATATTGCCCATGGAATCTTTCAATATGGCAGTTCGAGGCTTAAATTTTTCCTCAGTTCTTTCAGCTTGAGAAATGCCAAGCGGGTTCTTCCCTTTTGGTTTTCTAACTCCAGGTCTTTGCACATTTCATTCTAATAATTGACTTTGTCTTCTCAAGTTGCTCTTGGAAATCTTCTGTTCAGCTCTTTTATCCTGTTGATTCTTCCATCCAGTTTGTTGTTGTTGTTGTTGTTATGTGCCATCGAGTCGGTCCCGACTCATAGCTACCCTCTATTCAAGGGAAAGTTTCAGAGTCTCTTCTGACATCCATTTTGGTCTTTTCTTCCTTTCCTGTCTTTTTAATGACCTCTTGCTTTCTTCATGGATGATGTTCTTGATGTCATCCAAGAATTATTCTGGTTTTTGGTCACTGGTTTTCAAGGCATCAAATCTATTCTTTAGATGGTCTTTGAATTCAGGAGGGATATAATCAAGGTCATATTTTGGCTCTCGTGGACTTGTTTTAATTGTCTTCAGCTTCAACTTGAAGTTCCATATGAGCAGTTGATGGTCTGTTTCATAGTCAGCTCCTGGCCTTGTTTTGGCTAAAGATATTGAGCTTCTCCACTGCCTCTTGCCATAGATGTAGTCAATCTGATTCTTGTGTACTCCATCTGGTGAAGTCGATGTGTATAGCTGCTGTTTGTATTGTTGAAAAAAGGTATTTGCAATGAATAAGTCATTGGTCTTGCAGAATTCTATCATGCAATCTCCGGTGACATTTCTATTACCAAGGCCATATTTTCCAACTACCAGTGATTCTTCTTCGTTTCCAACTTTTACATTCCAATCACCAGTGATAATTAACACATCTTGATTGCATGTTTGCTCAATTTCAGACTATGGAAATTGTTAAAAATCTCCGTTTTCTTCTTTGGCTTGGTGGTTGGTGTGTAAATTTGAGTAATAGTCGTATTAACTGGTCTTCCTTATAGGTCTATAGATATTATCCTATCATTGACAGCATTGTACTTCAGAGTAGATCATGATACATTCTTTGTGATGATGAATGCCATGCTATTCTTTTTTAATTTGCCATTCCAGGTATAGTAGGTCATATGATCATCTGACTCAAAATGGCCTAGAAAACTAGTCCATTTCTGCTCACTAATGCCTAGGATATCTGTCTTTATGTGTTCCATTTTATTTTTGACAACTTCCAATTTTCCTAGATCCATTCTTTGTACAGTCCATGGTCTGATTATTGATGGATGTTTTCATCAAATGGGGGTCTGGAAAGCTTTAGTCTATCCACATCATTAAGGTCTGCTGTACTCTGAGGTGGTGTAGTATGTAAGGAATTTGACTGCTAACCAGAGGCTCGCAGTTCAAACCAACCAGCCACTCCTTGGAAGGAAGATTGGGCAATCTACTTCTATAGAGATACCGCCTCGGAAACCCAAGGAGGGGTCACTATGAGTTGAATCGACTCATTGGCAGTGAGTTTGGTTTGGTTTGTCTACTCTGAGGAGGCAGCTCTTCTCCAGTCATATTCTGAGTGACTTCTGACTTGAGGAGCTCATCTTCTGGCACTATATCACACAATGTTTCAGAGCTATTCATAAAGTTTGCAGTGATATATCAGACAGTGTTTCACTGCTATTCATAAGGTTTTCACTGGCTAATTCTTTGAGAAGTGGATGACCTCTTCATTCTGAGTCTGTAAGGTCTAGAGGCTCCACTGAAACCTGTCCACCATGAGTAACCCTGCTGACACTTGAAACACTGGTGCCATAGCCTCCAGCCTCACAGCAACATACAAGCCATCACAGTAAGACAAACTGACAGACACACTGTCTCCCCTAGCTGTTCTACAGTGCTCTGCTTATTTTCTGGTCTACTGTGCCCTGCTCACTTACATGGCCTGCCCCCAGGGCAAACACCCACCTTCTGCTGGTCCTGGAGCTAGCTTACTATAGCTTATGCTGGGGGTGGGGGGCGGCTCTTCATATGCAAACACCCACCAATCTTCGCAGAGGAAGCAAACAAATAAAAAAACACAACTCACTGCCATGGAGTTGATTCTGACTCATAGCACACCCCTTTGGGTTTCTGAGGCAGTAATCTTTATGGAATTAGATTGCCTAGTCTTCCTTCTGTGGAGTGGTTGGTGAGTTTTCACCCCCAACCTCTGATTAGCAGTCAAATACCTTAGGCACTATGCTACCAGGCCTCTAAGCTTAAGTAGGATTTAGGTAAGCAGAGAGGCGGGGATCAGGTGGGATAAGGAGGAAGTAGGTGATGGTTTTTTTTCTTAGAACTTAAAACACTCTCTTTGGGATAAGGTTGACCATTTGTGTTTGGGAATGGGTACATTTCATGGGGATAATGTATTTAAAGAAAAGAAAACCACAGAATTGGCAAGTGTTAACTTATTCATGTCTTTATTCAATAAATATAAATGAAATATTATTCCCTTAGTGCCCAATGGTATGCTAAGCATGAAGGGGTTGGTGTTGTCTCAGTAGTTTTCTATAAAGATTGAGTGGGGGGAGGAAGAACAGGGCTCTGACCATCCCCATCTCCTCCAGCC